CACAGGATGAAGGGGTGGGGGGAGGAGGGACAGTTACAGCAGAAACACTCAGAAACTCCCCGGCACCCCCATCTCACTTACAGAAAAAGCCACGACCCACAGTTTCTACATGACCTTCCCCATCACCTCCCTGTCCTCACCTCCTCCCTCTCTCCCCCTCGCTCACTCTTGCCTCACCCCCACGGGCCTCCTCCCTGTTTCTCACAAGGCACAGCCCTGCCCCAGGGCCTTATCATGGACCGCTCTCTCTTGCCTGGGCAGTGATCTTCCTCCAATACATACACGGGTCCATCAAGCCTCTGCTCAAATATCACCTTCTCAGCGAGAAAAGGGACCCCCACCTCCCTGTTTCAACTAACACATCCACCTGCCACCCCTCCCAAGCTCCCCCATCCCGCCTCTTTTTTCTCCATGACACTTACCAGCATGGATCCTACTTTTCTTGTTTATTTGTCTCCCCAACTAGGCTGCCAGCACCACGGAGGCAGAAACCACATCTATTCTGTTTACTGCTCTTTCCCGCACCTTGAACATGGTAGACGATCAATAAATATTTGCTACGTGAGTAAACTAATCTTTCAGATGAATGAATGAATGAATGAATGGTTGTTCTGGTTGAGCCATAAGCTTAGCCCCGAAGCCCCTGGTGACCAAAACAAAACTAGAAATAGGATTAGTTAGAGTCTCCATGGGGATAAACAATCCAGTTCCCAGGGGAAAGCCCTGTGCCAAGCCATATACGGACTGCCTCTCACTTAATTTCACAAGAAGCCTTTGGAATCCCTGTTTACTGGTAAGCAAGGGAGGCCCCCTGCTATGTATGAGACCACCCAGCCAGGATGGGGTGCTGCCCAGCTCCCAAACCCATTGGCTCACCACTACAGCATCATTTCCCTATTAGAAGAATCACCTCAATGCTAGTAAAAAGTACAGATCCCAAAGCCTGTCTCCTGGAAAGTCTGATTCAAGAGGTCTATAACCTAAACGAGCACCTCTAGGTGATTCTTCTGATCAAGGAAGTTTGAATAATGGCACTTCATGCAACAGAATGAGAGAGACAGAAAGAGGCTGGGCTAAATGCATGTGAAATGTAAAACCTGGAAACATTTACAGGAACACTTAAGGGACTATCTCTATGACCTTGAGACATGAAAGGATCCATAAACAAGACAAAAATGTACAAACCAGAAAAAAAGATGGATAAATTTGCCTACATCCCATTTTCCAACTTTTGCTGAAATAAAACACACCAGGAATAAGATGAAAAGGCAAGCAAGATGAAAATTCTGTGATGTTCATATGTGACAACAGAAACATATCTGGAATATATAAAGAGCTCTGAGAAATCAACAAGAAAAAGGTAACTATCCCGACAGAACAGGCAATTCATGGAAGAGGAAATCCAAGAGGCCAACCAATTTTGGCAAAGATGTTTAACAGAGGAACACAGGTTAAACCATTTTACGTACCCCCCCCCCCGCCATAGGCAAAAATCAAACAGCCCATCAAAAACCAAGCGTTGGCAGAAAACAAAGCTCATTTACATGCAAGGGATTGCAAATGGGCAATGCCACTCTGCAGAACAGTTTGGCAATATCAAGGTTGACAACAAGCATCCCTAAGATCCTAGGTTCTACTCCTAGGGATACACCATCAGCAAAGTACAGCCAACAGGCCAGATCTGACCACATCTGTTTGGGGAAATAAAGTTTTATTAGAACACAGCTACACCCACTCATTTACATATTGTCTGTGGCTGCTTTCCCGCTACAAAGAGCACAGTAGACACAGCAGTGCAGTGGCTGTTGACTCACAAAGCCAAAAGCATTCACTCTCCAGTCCCGTAAAGAAAATCTGCCAACCTCTGCTCTGAACCAGTGTTTCTCAAACTCTCATGTGTGCGTGAGTCTCCTGGGGAATCTCATGAAAATGCAGGTTCTGATTCGGCAGTTCTGGGAGGTGCCTGAGAGTCTGCATTTCCAGAGGGCTCCCAGGTGATGCTGGGCTGCTGGTCCCTGGACCACGATTTGAGTGTCCAGGATCCAGGCCACACAGAGTTCAGCCAGGATGTGTCTGTGAATCCTTAATAGACAAGATAGAGAAACATGGCCTCATCAGCATCTTCAACTCCTTTTAATCTCTTCCCTCCCCACCCCACCCCCCGCCCCCGGGAATCACCAACCGAGTGGGCAGAAACTCATTCCGTGGATATTGCACACACTCGCCGTGGGTCAGACATACCTGAAGCAGGAAGGGAATCTCAAGCATTCGTAGATCTCACTAGCCTCCAAGGATGGGCAGAAGAGGAAACACAACATACAGTTGTACAGTGCCCTAAACTTTGGCCCCCAAGTTACCCTTGAGCGTGACAGACATAACCCGAGGGGCCCATGGAGACCCCAGGGGGGAGGTGGCACTAAAGTTCTTGTAGCCGCAGCTCCCTGGAGCCCCACGGAAGTCTGCCAGCTGCCCATCGGCTCGCAGAGGTCAGAGGCCACACCTGTGGTCCCAGAGCCCAGCACAGGAGCGTGATCGACATGACTCGGGTGAATGTTCTAGATGTTTGTGCAAGGTTCCCCTGGCAAACTCTTCAGTCTGGAGCACCGTTTCTCTCCTCCGGTTCCTACTGGACACATAGTGGGAGCTCAAAAATATATTTCTTGGAAAAAAAATATGTATTTGATGAAGAAATGATTCATAGTCAGTTCCAAGACTCATCATATATAAATAGCATGGGCCAAAAAAAAAAAAAAAAAAAGAGGCGGGGGAGGGAGGGGCAGACCAGGACAAAGGGAAGGAATTTTAAAGGCCAAGAGGACATTTTCCCTGAGGAAAGCACCTACTCTGGGGCTGGGAACATGAGAGCTTTCTAAAAAAGAAAGGAAGTTGAACACGTTCTGCCTATAAAGTGCTAGGCACACGGTAAGTGAGATGTAATCTTCTCAAGCTATCTTCTACCGCGCCAGCTACCTCCAAGCCGAGGGAGGGAAGCAGGAGGGCAGGAGGGGCTTCCGAGCAGCTCCCCCAGGGGTAAGAGCAAGGTCAGAGGTCGAAGGTGTGCAAGAAGCAGGTTTTGACTCTAGAGAAGTAGGGATGAGCTTTAGAGGAAGTGAGTGCTCCATCCCTGGAGGTATTCAAATAGACACTGGATGAGCAGCCATCAAGAGACTCCAGGGGTCCCTCCTGATAGGGCAATTCTATGAATTGCTTTAGGAAGATTCTTCTCTGGGCTTTTCCAGCTGGGGCTGGAAGGTTAAAGGGGGCCTGAGTGACCCAAGGGTGGCCAGCCCCCGCTCCCCTGAGTCCATAGGGCCTGGGCGAGCTGGTCCCAGATACCTCAGACACCGACCAGGTGGCCCTGTCAGGAGGAAGCACCAAGCCACCTACATCTCCCAGCAGTGGGGTGCCACACAGCCACCCCCATTCCTTCTTCCCTCTCCCTTAAGCTTTTTAAAATATCCCTCTGGTCAGTCAGGACCAGAGTTTCACTAAAGGCCTTTGTGCAGGATTAGCCACAGCTTGTGTGGTCCCTTTGCGTTGGACGTTGGCTCCTGTACACGCTCAGGCTCCACCGTCCCAGCTGTGGGCACTGGCTGGGGAGAGACAGGCTGGTGCCGCTTCCTCCAGGCAGCCCTCCTTCCTGCCTCCCCAGGACACTCTTGGGAGATGTGAGTCTCTGAGCCAAGACCAAAGGCGTTGTTGGGTGTCTCCCACCTGTCTGTGCCCAAGGGCAGTGGCTGAGCCAGCAGCACATTCCTCGGAGGGGCAGTGCCGGCCAAGCTGTGCCCAGCAGGATGGGAGGCTCGCCGGGCCCTTGTTCTCTGCTCCCACTGGAAGGCGGAGCACAGGGCAGGGGTGGGCTGACCCTGCCCAGTCCTGGCCTGGAAGCAGAACCAAGGAGGCAGCAGGTAGAGAGGGGCTGGGCAGTGACGGGCGAGTCCCCCACGCTGCCCGGTATAGGAGCAGTGCTCTCAGCTGGCACACATTTGTGACCGTGACAAACCCAGGGTGGCCAAGAAGGGCCCAGCCCCTGAGGCTTCTGGGGAGAGGGGTGGGGTGCCTGAGGCCCAATGACCCAGAGCTAGCTGGCCAAGGGCATGCAGGACTCAGAGACCGCATCCGCCCGGAGGAGGGCCCCCCCACCCAGTTCTCCCCACAGTCGGAGTTGGGGGCTTTTTATCTAACTGAGTGAGAAACTGAGGCGGGAAGGTTTCATGAGCTGTGGGGCTCCAGGGTCCCTGGGAGACCTTCCCCGCAGAATGGTCCCTTCTCCTGTCCAGCTGGGAGTGTGCGTGCTCAGCGGCCATGGGCAGCCAGGGAGAGAGAAGAAATGGACTCCCACCCCTCCCCCAATATTGCTGACATGTTCCGATGCTTCAAGACCCTGACCCAAGACACAAGGGGAAGCCATCTGAACTGGGTAAGTCTGGCTCCCAAACTAGCTGCTAAGTAAGCCCCTAAGACACAAGGCTTCAGACATCCTGAGACATTACCTCCTTCTTGAGCATGGCCCTCAGTAGGTGCAACCCCAAACCCCCACCACTACCTCCGGAATCGGAATCCCAAAGCCGGGAGGGTGTCCTCACACTGGCCACTAAGCTGAGCACAGAGGGAGGGTTCAAAGATCATGAGTGGGCGGGTGAGGGGACGGGGAAATTGTGAGAGAGAATGAGTGAATGAATGAATGAATGAATGGTGGATGGAAGTCAGGGAGGGGGGAGGGAGTAAGGGAAGGAAGGGAGGGAGGAGAGTGGGAGGAGGGAGGGAGGAGGGAAAGGGACTACCCAAAGCACATACTTCAGGCAGGATGGGAACCACGTATGATCCGAGTTGAAACCCTGTCCCCTCCTCCAGACCTGGACACTGAGAAGTGGACCCCCTCTGTGGCCTCGCCCAGTGCTGGGAGCTGAGTCAGGGGCAAGCCACTCATCTTCCCCCGCACAAACCCATGCTCAGTCCCAAAATCCCCTTGCAGGCCAGCCCTGCCCCCCGGGGAGCCCTCAGAGGGGACCCCGGCCATCCGCCCGCCCTGGAGGCACTCTGCCCGAGGCTTGGGACTTGATGCGCAGTTTGTGGGGCAGGGAGGGCTGACCCTCGGAGTCATTCCCTGGGACAGGATAGACCACCCCGGGAGGCAGCTCCATCGGGTCAGCAGAGGGTGTGAGCAACACATCTGAGGGCCCCGAAGCCTGGTAACCAGTGGGCATGGGTGACCACAGCCTCCAGAAGGGCCTGAGCTCCGGTCTGGTCCCCCCATGCCCATCCAGGAGGTGACAACTGAATAAGGCAGCTGGGAGGGCAGCCTGCAAGGCCATGTCCATTCTCTTGGGGGCAGGGGGCGCAGGGTCCTGCGGGCACCTGGGGGAGGTGGCCAGACCAGTCCACCTGTGGGCCACCAGACAGCCCCCGCATCCCGGAACCCCAGTGTCCAGGGCGCATGGCCTCAAAAAGCAGCCACGGGAGCCAGAGAGGGAGGGGAGGGGGTCGGCCCTAGAGCAGGGGTCCCCAGTCCAGGGGGCCTCCCACAGCATGGCCTGCAGGGGCAGGGCCCGGGAGCCAGCGACGGAGGGCAAAAGGCCAAAGCGATGCCTCAGTGTCCACAGCTCAGCCCTGAGCAGAGCGTTTTCCTCCAGCAGCAGGGCTAGCCTGCCCTCGAGGGCCGCGTCATTGAGACGCCGCTTTTCCCGGGACCTCTTGGCGGCTTCGTTGTTCTTCCTCCGCTTCTCCCAGTAAACTGTGTCCTTCTTCTCTTCCGGCATGAACTCCCGCTGCCTCCGGATGGCCGGACCCCTGCCGCGTGCTCCCCGCAGGGTCTTGCTGCAACCCTGAGATACAACTGGCAGGCTGGAGAGACCCACGTCCATGGCTGCCTGGGGCACCTGGAACACAAGAGAGGGGTGTTGGACAGGAGGCAGGAGGCTGACCAGGATGACCCTCCCTCTAATTTATCCTGTGACCCCACCATCACAGACAGGTAAGGGCGCAGGTGGAGTGGGAGCGGGGAGGGTGGGGGGTGACCAGGATGGAGGCGGAGAGGGATGTAATGGAGAGGAACAGGAGAGGAGCTGGTGGGACCATTGGGTGTCTGGCAGAGGAGTGGGGGAGGCTTCCAGAGAGGCCGCTTGGCCGGGGAAAGCTTAGGAGCAGACCACGGTCTTCACGGAGAGCCGGTGGGGCACTGACCGTGTCCTTAGAGGATGCAGGCTCTTTCCCCGGGGTTCTTACCGCTGAGAAGTCAGCTGAGAAGCCTAGAGCTCAGTCTGGTCTGAGCTCCAGGTTAAGATCCTTGGAGACCCAGAGGGAGAATGAAAGAGAGCTGAACCTGGAAAGGGAGAATGTGTGTCCATGGAGTTAAACTGAGTCAGGCTGGGTTCAAAAAATAAGCCAGTAGTCATCTGAATTGTGCCTAGGCTATGTCCCAAGACCTCCTCGATACATGGCCAGAATTTCGCATCTGCCCATCCATCCATCCGCCTACCCACACATTCATAAGATGATCGATCCATCTATGCACTCACTCAACTGTCCATTTGTCCATCCCTCTACCCACCTACTCAACCATCTATCCATTTATCCCCTCAAGCACCCACCCACCATCTGATTTGTCCATCCCTCTGCTCACTCCAACACTCCATCTATCCCCCATCCGACTACAGAATCATCTCCACATCTGCCACTCACACACCCACCCATCCACTCCCTGTCCATTCATTCACCGATAGAGTCATTTTTTTTATAATATTGCACCTACAGGTAACAATAGAAAAAAAAATTGGACTCTATAAAAATGTTTACATTTTGTGCATCAAAAGATACCACCCTCAAAGTAAAAAGATAGCTCACAGAGTGGGAGGAAATATTTGCAAATCATAGATCTGATAAGGGATTAATATCCCAGAACATACAGAGAACTCCTACAACTTAGCAACAACAACAAGATAAAAATAAAAATAACCCAATTCAGAAATGGTCACGGGGCTTGAACAGACATTTCTCAAAAGAAGATACGCTGCTGGTCCACAAGCACGTGAAAAGAGGCTCAACAGCGCTAATCATTAAAGGAAACGCAAATCAAAACTACAGCGAGATATCGCCTCACATCCACCCGGACGGCTACCATTAAAACAAACCAAAACAGGGGCGCCTGGGTGGCGCAGTCCGTTAAGCGTCCGACTTCAGCCAGGTCACGATCTCGCGGTCCGTGAGTTCGAGCCCCGCGTCGGGCTCTGGGCTGACGGCTCGGAGCCTGGAGCCTGTTTCCGATCCTGTGTCTCCCTCTCTCTCTGCCCCTCCCCCGTTCATGCTCTGTCTCTCTCTGTCCCAAAAATAAATAAACGTTGAAAAAAAAAATTTTTTTTAAACAAACCAAAACAGAAAATAGCAAGTGTTGACCGGGAGGTAAAGAAATTACAACTCTCGCGAACTGTGGGCAGGAATGTAAAACGGTGCAGCCGCTGTGGAAAACAGTATGGCGTTTCCTCCAAAAAATTAAACATAGAACTACCCTGTGATCGAGCAACTCCACTTCTGGGCATGCACCCAGAAAAATTGGAAGCAGGGTCTCAAAGAGATAGCCACACACCTATGTTCACAGCAGCAGCAGCATTCACGATGGCTAAGAAGCGGAAACAGCCCAAGTGTCCATGAACAGATGAACAGAGGAGCAAAATGTGGTCCAGCCATACAATGGAATATGATTCAGCCTTTATTTTTTAAAAAAAAAAAATTTTTTTTCAACGTTTATTTATTTTGGGGACAGAGAGACAGAGCATGAATGGGGGAGGGGCAGAGAGAGAGAAGGAGACACAGAATCGGAAACAGGCCCCAGGCTCTGAGCCATCAGCCCAGAGCCCGACACGGGGCTCGAACTCACGCACCGCAAGATCGTGACCTGGCTGAAGTCGGACGCTTAACCGACTGCGCCACCCAGGCGCCCCTGATTCAGCCTTTAAAAGGGAGGAGAGTCTAACACCTGCTGCAACACGGATGAGCTTTGAAGGTGTGAGGCTCAGCGAAACGAGCCAGTCACAAAAAGACAAATGGTCTACGATGCCCTCATAAGAGGTACTTACAATAGTCAAAATTTCAAAGACAGAAAATAGCATGGTGGGTGCCGGGGGCCAAGGGAGAGGAAAATGCGGAGTTATGCTTTCATGTTATGTAAAAAGAGAGTTATCTTCTCTTTTACAAGATGAAAACAGTATGGGGATGAGTGGTGCGGGAGGTAGCACAACTGTGTGAGTGTGTTTAATATTCTTGAACCATACACTTAAAAATGATTAAGACAGGGGCGCCTGGGCGGCTCAGTCAGGTGAGTGTCTGACTCCTGATTTCGGCTCAGGTCAGGATCCCAGGGTCGTGGGATCGAGCCCCACTGTGGGTTCCGCACTGAGTGTGGGGCCTGCTTGGGATTCTTTCTCTGTCTCTGAAAATTTTTTTTAAATGGTTAAAACAATAAATGTTATTTTATGTGTATTTTTAATTTTTAATAATAAAAATTTTTTAATAATACTAATGTAACTTTACTGAACGCCAGCCATCTTGCCATCCACATATCCATTCACCGGTCCCCCTTCATCCACCCGCAACACGGCCGTTCCCTCAACCATCCAGTAAGCATCCCTCCGTGTACCAGTCAGCCACCCACAAATCCATTGATTCATCTGTGTGCCCAAGACATGGGGTTTCTGCCTGAGAAGTCAAAGCAGGCTCCAAGAAAGAGTGGCCATTGAGAGCTGGCATCCTTGTCCAGAGAACCCATGACTAACCTTCACGAGGGCGGGTATGTGTCTTTTTTTGTCTACAATTGTAACCCTGGTACCTAATGTTGTGCTTGTAGACTGTAAGTGGTAAATAAACATTAATGAAAGAAAGAATGAATGAATGAATGAACAAATGAACGAACAGGTGAATCAAAACAGAACTTTGTTCACAGAAAATATTTGGCCCTCCCTCCTGCTGAACTGCCAGCCCCAAATCATGAAGCCAACCACATTTCCCTTTTTGCTTTGGCCACCAGGAAACTCAGTATTCAGTTTGAAGATAAGCTATAATAGCCTTCTTGATTGGGAAAGCCATTTTCTTCTGCAGTGTTATTATTTGAATTTAGTCTTTTGCTCTGTGCTAGCAGCTCTTGGCCTTAGTGTCTGGCTGCATAAGATCATTGAGATCAAAAGACAACACTCTTCAAAACTCTGACCATGATTCTACATCCATGTTTCCCAAAGTATGTTGTCAGGAACCCCAGTGTCGAGGGTGCACTGCCCAAAAAAAGAGAAAAAAATACAATACATTTGAGAAATGCTGTATATCCTACACCCTACCTGAGAATCTTAATGATTCTCAGGAGCACCTGGGTGGCTCAATCAGTTAAGCGTCCAACTTCGGCTCAGCTCATGATCTTGTGGTTCATGAGTTTGAGACCCACATTGGGCTCTGTGCTGACAGCTCAGAGCCTGGAGCCTCTTTCGGATTCTGTGTCTCCCTCTCTCTCTGCCCCTCCCCTGCTCACACTCTGTCTCTCTTTCTCTCCAAAATAGATAAACATTTAAAAGATTGTTAAAGGCTCTGAGAAGTCTTGCAAAAAAAAAAAATTTTTTTTTAACTTTGTTTGACTTAGAGCTTCTCAAACTCACAAAATATCTACTTTACAAAACACCTTGGGATGCAAATTCATTCATTCATTCATTCATTCATTCATACAGCACTGTGCCAGGTCCTAAGCTGGTTACCAGAGGAAAATCAAACAACCCTGTGCCTTCACAAAGCCCCCAGTCACATGGTAAAGGTAAGTGACATATAATGGAAAACACAGGGCCAGAGAGGGTCTGCTATCTGCCCAAGTCACACAGTAAGTTAGCGGCAGGATGAGGATTTGAATGCCATCTGTCTAATGCGTGGGTCCTTTCTGCTTACAGGTCTGAGGGGCTGCTATGTTTGTAGTCATGGCTGGGCTTCGAACAAAAGGCTTTGCGGGGCCCTGCAGTCACCTGAGTGGGCAAGAACCCCTAGTCACCAGAGGGACTCCAGTACCACTGCCTGGGACCCCCTCTGAGAACTGGTTACGAGGGGGACACCAGCACCGAGGCCCAAGACCCCCTGTGAGGCCCAACGGGCATCTGGGGCCACCTGGCCACCGGCCCACCTGCTGCAGCAGGTGGCCCATGCCGGCCCGTGTCGCACGGGCTGGAGAAGCGCCTGCAAACCGTGGACCCTGCTGCACAGGACCCGGGTGGGGGGCCCTGGGTTTGCACCTGCCTCATCCTCACGCCTGCTCCTGGCGGTCAGACCACCTATCACATCCTTGTCCAGGAGGCCACGTTCCCTGGCCCCTTTCAGCCGTCTGAGGCCAGCACACGCTCTGGCAGGAGTGCATCGTCCTGCTTACAGAGAAGGAAACCGAGGCTCGGGAGCTCCCGCGGCTGGCCTGGGGGTGTTGGCAATTTCACAAGTCGGCCTGATTTTCCCTCCCGTCCTTTCCTCCCAGCACGGTGACTGCCACCACCACCCCCCCAGCCCCACAGCCACTGCTGACACCCCTGCCCCCTCACCCCACCCCCCACCACTTCCCTGTCCACACGTGCACGCACCCCCTCCGCTCTCCTCGCAGCGCCGGCCGCAGCCCAGGCGTCTCCTATCCCCCCTGAGTCCACACCCGCCTGCACCCCGGTCCCTCCAAACCCACCAGCAGCCCAGAGGAGTCTTTTTCAAAACCCCACTGACCCTCAGGTTAGAAACCTCTGGGGTGTGCTTATGAAAGCACACAAAATGATCCCTGAAAACAGTGCTCTTGTGCAGCTCAGGTCCCCCCCCCCCCTTCTCCACCCTGGGGCCGGGGAGCGAACGGAGGCAGACGCTGCACGAA